GAAGGGACGGCCATTTGAAATGAGCTTGCGTGAGAAAATGACTGGAAAATGTCAATTGCGGGTGTCATTTCGTGATTGGGACAGAGATTTGCTGCCCTGTAATGTCTGCCTTTGTGCCTTTCCTCTGAGCTGTGAGTTGGAGAGGCCTGTAATTAGAAGAGAGAGAATACAGGTTTCTTCCTGCGGATCCTCCTGTCTCCAAACTAACTTGTCCTTATCACGCATGAAAATTTCGAATTGGCCACAAAGCAGTTTAAAAATGGATTGACATTTCAGCGTGGACATACAGCTTGCGTTCCCATTCATTCATTTTATCAGTCACAGAGATTAACTCAGCGCCTCCACTGTCCAGGGGCCAGGCAGGGCTGTGTGTGTCCCTGTGAACGCGGAGATGGGGGAGCTGCTGTCCTCAAGCCCCTTGTGGGGGGGGACCAGGACCCAGAGCCAGAATGGGCGAATGGCCAGCCGAGCACCAGGAAGGCTTGAGCATGGCAGTGGAGAGTTTGTGCTGGTGGTCAGGAAAGTCGTCTCCCGGGATTTATATTTTCGTTTTGAAGGATGAGAAAAGAGCCAGCCGTACAGAGAGGGGAAGCGGAGAAGGGAACTGATGTGTGATCACTTGCTTCACGGGCTGTCCGAGGGCTAGATGTGCAAGTACGGTGGCACGGAGTAGGTCTTCATCTCGTCTTGTGCCGTCTGCCATCTCTGATTCTTTCTAGCCTGGGCGTCAGGACTGGTGTCGTTGGGTAGGTGAAGACGAAACCAAGGTCTGCTTGATTTAGTGGCTTCTTGGCCTGTCAGTGGAAGCTTGTTTTCTTTGTGTAGCCTCAAACCTGGCCCGGCCCAAGATGGCTCCATTAAGTCGTCTCCATCTCTGGGTACACCAGCCTACAGACTGAGTGAAATGCAGATGGTCTCAGTGACCACCAGACGTGCAGACATTCCAGTTCCAATCTCAAGCTTCCACGAGACAAGATGAGACGAGGCCTCCTCGTCTTGTAATGACTTTTCCACCAGCACATGGTCCTGACCTCACTAGGGTGTCAGACTTCAACTCAGTTCTGCCGCCATCTCCCTGGATGACAGTCACAACCCAGGCCGTCACTTGTGCTTTTGATCAGCCAGCCACACACTGGAGGTTCCTGTGACCCCTTCCTCAGACTTGAGGTGCCCAGGTTATTATCTGTGCTCTGATCGGCTGACCCAGACCCCCTCCTCAGGTTTGATTAATTTGCTAGAGAGGCCCACAGAACTCAGGAAGCCTGTTGACCCACTACATCACCTGCGTATTACAAAGAAAGCAGCCAGATGGAAGAGAGGCACAGGGTGAGGTGTGGGGAAGGGCATAGAGCCTCCTGCCCTCTGCAGATGCCTCATCCTCCCCAAGTGCCCCACGTTCATCCACCTGGAAGGCTCTGAAGGTCTCCCCCCCCCGGGCTTTTACGGAGGCTTCCCGACTTCCGTGTGCTTTATCAAATCACAGGTCATGTTGCTTGAGTTCGGTCTTCAGTCCCTCTCCCTCCTGAGGTGTGAGGGTGGGCCTGGAAGCTCCAAACCCCCAGTCACATTGTTGGTTCTCCTGGCAGCCCACCCCTATCTTTAGGTGCTTCTCCAAAAGCCACCTCATTGGCATAGCTGAAGACACCTTTATTGCTCTTAACACTCAGGAAATTCCAGTGGTTTCCACCATGTGGGTCAGGGACTATGTGGCCAAATATATATGGCCCAATCCAGATTTTTAAACGAGCCAGTATATATCTTATATCAGAGTATCAGGCTGGGCAGGCAGTGTGAAAAGACATTCAACTTCTTTTGAGCTATTTGGTGAGTGTGGCCATCTGTTATCATCCTGTAACTGCACAAGAGCTGGGCCTGATTTTCAAGATAGATCCCACAGAAGATAAAAAGTTCACAGACTGTTTTTGGGCCCAGCCTCCCCGGCTCATGCAGACACTTAAGTGTCTCCTGGCTTGCTGATACCAATCATGCCACATAATTGGAAGAAAAACTCCAAGCCAGAAGGATTTAACAACTCCCAGCTACTTACATCCACAGTCCAAAGTGTTCCCTAAAAACCAGTGGCACTGAGGACAAGCTTGTCTGCCCAGAGCATGCCCTCTTGTAGGAATCCATCGTTTTTGAAGAATCTTTGTTCTTATTACTGTAAAGAAAAACCCGTCCTTAAAACCCTGCTTTGTCTTTTAATGCAGTTCTTTTGACGCCCCTTACCTCTGTATTTGGGTCCCGTGGCTTCAGTTACCCGCTCTTGACTGTGGTCTGAAAACATTAAGTGTATTTTGAAAAGGGAGAGGGCACATTCACGTAACTTGTATTGCAGCTTATTCTGATCGCCTATTTTATGATTAGTTATTGTTAATTATTTATAACTTACAAATTACTGTGTCTAGATTATCAGAGAGGAAAGAACATAGTCTACTTAGGGTTTGGTGCTGGCCACGATTCAGGCACCCCTGGGAACCCAACCTTGGGGAAGGGGAGGGGGACACGTACTTTATTTCGGAATTCAGGGTGGCAGAGAATAGCCCAGTCCCAATGCTGGATGCAGCAGCCTGGATCCTCACTCCAGCCCCCCAGCACCCACATGTGTCCCTTTTATTAGCGTCTTGAATTTCACTGCTTTAGCTTGTTGATACAAAACAGATAGGACTTGATCACCCCAGCCCTCCAAGGCTTTCCCTCGGGGATGTCTGCGATCTTTTCATAACAGCTAACCCTGCGCCTTCTCCAAGAACATGTTTACATAAAAAAAAAATGATTCATTCAAAAGATACGTTTACAAAAAAATCCACACAAAGATAGCCTTTCTTTCCCCAGTCCCGCTCCTCATCTGTTATCAGTGATAGACATGCTTGCTATTTGTTATGTAGTTTTCCAGAATTATTTTTATATTTCTACCCTCATGAGTATGTGAGTGAGAGGGTGTGTGCTCCCTCTTTTTTAACCTGGCCATTTCCTGTGCACATGCCCTAATTTCCTGCCTCACGTGTCTCTAGCTGGACATTGAGAATGTTTGTGTTTGTTAAAAACTTGTTTAAGCAGTGGAAAGAGGAATGACCTTTGATGTAAATTTTGGTTGGTGTCTTTGGTGGTTTCCTCTTGATAAAATCTAAGAGTAAAGTTTCTTTTTTTTAAAGATTTATTTATTTATACAAGAACCGGGGTACAGTCCAGATGTGCGGGGGGGGTGAGAGGATTCACCAGAGACATAGCGGGGACCAGAACAGGCAGATTGACTGAAATACACTGCTGAGGGGAGCAGCGGGCAAGTCAGGAGAGATCTGCTGCGCCATGTGGGATCCTCTCCGGCCGGCCGGGATCGAACGGGCACTGCAGAGGCTGCGGACAGCTTCACATGAGGCGCTCAACTGCCTGTGCCACCAGGGGAGGCCCCTGAGAGTAAAGTTTCTGGGTTAAAAAAATGTGGATTAGTTTTTTGGATCTTCCAACAGGCAGGCTCTCAGCTTTTCTTAAAGATGACACCATACCTCCTACAGCCCCCTACAAGAAGATAGGCTGGTCACATTAACAGCAGGGTGACCCCAGCCCTGCATGCTCCTCATCTTTTGAAAGGGAAAGTTCTTCCAAGCAGCTTAGCAGGTTTCTTCTTGCTGGGGCTGGAGGAGACTCTCCGTAGCATCTCAGCAATTCCTGCTGCCTGGAACTCGTTCAACTGCTCAGAGCTAGAAAGCGGGAAAGGGCTCAGGCTGGGTTGTCTTCCTGGGCTGCCACCCATGGGGTGAGGACAAGTTCATGTCTGGTGTCAAGGCTGACAGCACACTCTCTTCTCAGTCATTGTCGTGTTGTTAAGATAATTGGTCATTGAGAACCGCCTACCCACTGGGCGCTGGTCTACCCTCTTTACAGGCATGAATTCACTTTGCCCTCAGGACGGCCTTGTGAGGGTTACTTCTGCATCCCCATCTCACAGATGGGGGGGACATGGTGACCAGAGAGGTCAAGGGGTTGGCCCACGACCACACAGCCAGGAAGAGGTGGAGCTGGAACATGGCCCTGAGCTGTGCAGCCCCAGAGTGCAGGCCCCATAGCCACCACGCTGTCCTGCAAAGGGGCCCCCCCATTTCTTTGAGTCTCCTTCTAGTCTTCTCACCTTTTCCTCCATTTGCTGAGGGTTTATAACAGAGAAGCCTTTCAAGTTGTTCAGAACTGAAATTTGCATCCACTTCATGTGTGACCTTGGCCCCACGTCTGTGAAGGGAAATAGTTCCCACCCTGGGTAGTTAGTGAGAGATGGGTGGCGATTGTGGCTAATGCAATAACTCAGGCAGGAGGAGAGGGTGAGCTGCGTTTCTCTCCCTCTTGGCCCCCTCTCTGCTCTGCTGGGTCCTTTGAGCTTTGATGTATGTTCTGGAATTCTGGTCAGCATAGACTGGATCACACCACAAAGGGAAGCTCATCCTCTGGGTGCGAGAATAGTACTGCCCTCACTCGGGCCGGTTGCCCGGCCGTCTTGCTGTCTGCCTTACATGAAAGGACCAGCAGGCTGTGTGGTCCACTCGGTCCTGGCTTCCCGGGTGCTTCTGCCTTGCCTTGCACAGAGATGTTGGGGGGGCGGGCGTTGGTCCCGCGTGTTTACGTGTGGAGTGTGTCTCTGCATGTGATGTTCGTCATGGTGACAGTGGACATCTCTCCCTCTGCATATCTGATATCTTGCCTCTGAGATCCTAATTAGGCCTTTACAGCTCTGGAATTACATGCTTTTACATGCCTGCAATGATCTCAATAGGATTAATGGGCTTTTTGCCGTAAAGATAATTGAGATCTCTCACAGTGGCGCATTTTTATTACTCTGACACTGTCTCCAACCATCCTTCCACAAAATCGCTGTTTTCCAGTAACTGCTTTTCCACCTTATTCCGAACAGGAATATTCAGGGATCATTGAGAGGCAGAATCCGTCTGTGATCACGCAAACCATGGTAACCGTGATGTGCTTTCTCTCTCTCCCTCCCCCAATGGCAGGTGCCTGGAGATTTGAGTCAAACATCCGAAGACCAGAGTTTGTCAGATTTTGAAATGTAAGTCCATGGTGTCTACTTATGAGGGGCTGTTTGGAAATAGGACTCTGTAGTTTGGCATGTGTCCCAGAAGACCACAGGGGGAAGCAGAAATCGCTGCTTCAATCTGCATAGTCCGATTTGGGTTTTGTTGAGGGGGGATTTGCACGCCTGCAGCCTGAGCCTGGCCTTCAGATGTGTTTTATGTCTCCCCTTGGGTCTTGAAAAACAATTTATTTTTTTGGCTGACATTTTAGAGTTGGAAGATAGCACATAAAAATTTAAATTTTTCTATTTTCTTTATAAAAAGACTGAAATCCCTGCAAGGCTGCAATCAGCTTAAGCTGAGCAGCAGCTGCCTCCTTCACACAGGGCATGTGTGCTTCTGTTTACCTCAGTCCCCACTTCTCCCTATTGCCCAGGTCTGGTCTACATCACTCATTTCACTGTCTGTGACGCCTTCAGGCATTTGTGTTTGCAACCCAAATTATTGGGTTGCAATATATTGGGGTTATTGGACACCACAGTGGTTCAGTCTGATTTTTGATTGGCTTGATTCTCTCTGGTGCCTCTACTAGTGTGTCTAGACTATAGCTGATTAGGTTGCCTTGATTTTTTGATAGATAATCCTCTTCTGTAGGCAAGGGAATTGGTGTGAGTCCTGGGTTTGGTCCAGGCAGGACCTATCTCTTGCCTTGCTCAGTTGTGCTGAGTGGAGGAAGGTTCCATCTCCACAGGGGAAGGTGCCATCCAGGAGAAGCCCTGCTTCTGGAGAGAGTGTAGGTTAGCAGTCTGTCATAGCCTAGCAGGCTGAGTTGAAATCATACATCAATGTGACCCTGGGCAAGCCATTTAGCCTCATTCAGCCTTTTGATGCTAAGGTGAGGCTTGTGCTACCAACCTTGCCAGGGTCACAGTAGTGATTAGAGTGAGCTTATGGAAAATGCAAAGGGCAGGGAGAGGCACTGGGTGCTTGGGGCAGTGGCGGTGGAGGTGGAGGTGGCTATTAGGTTGGATGATGTGGTTAAGAGGGGAAGGATGAAAATCACAGCTGAGTTTGCCTCCCATGGACCTGTGGGTGCAGGGAGTGCAGTGTGAAGAGGATAACAGAACAGCAGGCTGATGGAGGACAAGGGTGGGAATGTGATGGGAAGAAGGGTGAAGCTGCTGAGGGGAATCCCAGAAATGAGTCAGTCGTGAGGCAGAAGGGACTCGTACTAAAGCAGTAATTTGCCAAGTGTCTGCTGTGGAGAGGTGTCATGCCAGGTCTGGATGGGGGAATGAATAATCCAGTCTCTGCTCTCAAGCAGCCCCTGCCCCTTCTTTGGACACCAAAGCACACTGGTCAACTCGACTCCTATAATTCCCTTGATCTTTACTCAGAATCATTACCTAATCCACACTTACACAGCATTTTCTCTGTGCCCGGCATTGCTCTAACACACCCGGTCTCTATGACGACTCTCTGGTGTGGGTTTTGTCTTACAGATGACAGATTTGAGTCAGGATTCAGATTCAGGCAGTCTTGATCTAGACCGTGTGCTCTTCACAAATGTTAATCCCCCTGCCTGAAATGCCTCTCCCAGCCGCAGCCTACTGCCAAAACAGCTCCTTCAAGCCTGGCCTGAACATTGCTTCCTCAAAGCAGCAGCATCCTTCTCCCTACCCCTTGGCAGCCCCAAAACATATGGTGTAGAAATTGACAAAAATCAAGGGAAAAATAGGTAGTTCTACAATAATAGTTGGAGACTTTGGTACCCTACTTTCAATGACTGATGGGACCACTGGGAGATCAAAAGGGAAATAGAAGATCTGAACAGCACGACTGACCAGCTCCAGAGCAAAGAACACGCATCATTAGAACAAGCATCATTAGAACACACGAACAAATGACACAGAACACTCGTTCTTCTCAGGTGCACGTGGGGCACTCTCCAGGGTAGACTGTATATGTCAGCCACATACACATGTGAGAACATCTCTCACACACATGTGTGAGAACAAGTCTCAGCAAATAAAAAAAGGGGGGAGATCATGCATGGCGTCTTCTACATCCTCAGGGGAATAGTTTCCGCAGGGATTTGTCTCTCCCGTGTTAAACTGCAAAGGCAGGGGCTACCTCTGCTTTCCCCACTGCTCTGTCTCCAGTGCCTGGAACAGTGTCTCACACACAACCAATTCACAGCAAGTACTCTTAATTCTTGAGTGAACAACAACAGCAAAACTCATCTCTAGGAGAGAGGTGGCCACGTAAGCAGTCTCTTCTAGTCAGTGTGGTACGTGCGTTGTAGAGGAGACATGCCTGGTCTGGGGTGACCACACAGCTGCCTGGGAGGGTGTCCCAACCTCGCCCATCCAAGAAGGTTAATGAAAACCAGAAAGTTGCTTACATTTCTGTCCTCCCCTCCTTACCCCCGCCCCCCAGAAATGAAAGGGGAACCCTCTAGGCACTGGTACAATCTTGGGGACCTTTACAGGAGCAATGTCATCAAGTATACAAACCAATTTGGTGCCTCAGAATTTCAGTTTGTTCTTGGAGCCCTGGAGAAATGATCAATATAGCTTATTTTGCCCCATAAAGGGAGGTCAGCACCTTAGCTCAGAACTTAGAAAAAAAAATACTGCTTTAGGAGAGAACTATTTCTTTGTGAAAATAAAGCGTTCTTTACTCTGGAGGTTGTGAGAAAATTGAGTCATGGAATCTTCCACCACCATCTCACGTCGTGTTCCAAGCACAGAAGGCTGGCGAATTTCTATGAGCTGCTCTTTGGAGAGGAGAGCTGATGAAAAGCACGTCGCCCTGGGACACCTCTAAGTCGAAGCAAGGGCTGGAACCTCCCAGCCCTCTGGTCGTGAGCAGTGCTGTTTTGATAGCTGTTAAAATTGATCTTGAAGTTTCAGCAAGAGTTAGCTTATCAGCTCTGCGTGATTTGAATCCAGCCAGGTGGAAGAGGGACGGGGGGTGGTGGTGGGGTCTATTCCCAGTGACTCACAGTTAAATTTAAAGTCATCACAGAAGGCAAAGGTGTCATCTAACCAACATAACCCTTGAAAATCTCTTCACTAGCCTACGAGGATTAACTGAGGTAATAAAGGTAAAGCATGGAGCCGTGTGTTATAGGGGCTCAACACCATTTTGTATTTGAATTTAGATCTTGCTTTAGTGGCGCCACGCACAGTGTTTTGGAAGAAGCTGAACAAAGGCTATTGAGCTCGGCTTCCTGGTACCCCAACTTGTCATTTCTTGTTTTCCTTACCCCAGATAGCTGTCACTGGTATAACTAACTGTGGGTGACTTTCCTGAGTTCTTTCAAGGAGCCTGATCTTAACCTGGGGTTCAGAGTCTTAATGTGGATACAGTGAGGAGGCAGTGTGACTCCTCTTGGTGTTCCAGAAGCCCCATGCACCCTGGCGTCCTGCCTTAGGGGGGTTGCCAGTTACCTTCCCTCCTCAGGAGGTCTCAGCTGCAGATAAATTATGGGCCATGGTCCTTTGGTTAGTGAGAACGGAAGGGAAGCGCTTTCTCACTCCAGAGTATTAACTACATAATAAATAAAAAGTACATATTTTTAAAATTACATCCCATGAGGATAATCTTGGGGGGTTGGTGCTGAGATTTTAACCCATCTTTTCGCTTACTCTTAAGTGTCACAGATGTTGCTATGAATGGCCCGTCATGCCTTAGAAGAGAAGGTGGTTCTCTCTCATTTTTTGGTGAGTTGAATGACCAATTCTGATCTCTTTTGGTCAGATCAAACCGGGCGCTGATCAATGTCTGGATCCCGTCGGTGTTTCTCCGGGGCAAAGCGGCGAATGCCTTCCACGTGTATCAGGTACGCCTGCTTTCCCAGAGCCTGTACCTCGGGGTGCAGCTGCCCCCCTCGCCATCACACAGGGGCACTGTTCCTCTCGGGGCTGGGGGGGTTTACTAAAGAGGCCGCAGCCCGGTGTCCCTGGGGAGGTGGCTCTTGCATCAGTGAGGCAGGAGGGAGCAGGGAAGAGCTTCCTCATGCTGGCCGGGCCTCATGTGACGCTCAGATGGGGACGCGTGGGCAGACAAGGGACTTGGTATGTGACTGGTGTGTGATGCACCTGGAAAGTCCAGGTGTTGACCGGCCTCGGGTGTGAAGGTTTGTGCACAGAGATCTGCTGCCATCTCCTTCCTCTGTGGGTGGTGCTGTGGGTGGCTGAGCTGGCGCCCCACAGTTCCAGTCTCAGCCTGTCTGGATGGTACAGCCAAGTCCCAGTGTCTCTCTCTGCTCTGTCTTGGATCCTGCACCCATCCCTGAGCCTCGCCATGGGGGGTGAACCCCGTGAAGGGCTGGGGGTGGGTCATGACCATTGCAGGCTCTGGGTTTGGGGTTGACTTCAGCCGACCATGTGTCGGAGGGGGGCTGGCTCACCAGTGAGAACCAGAGGCTGCTCTTTTCAAAAGGGGCCCTGGGTAGTTGACGCTCAGAGACTGCAGGCATTTCTTCTACTTCCTTGGGGGAGAGCTGGACACCCTTGTTGGGGTTTGAGCCTCGGGTCTTTGGGGCAACCTTTGCCCCAATAACGGACCCCAGATTTCATCCGTTCCATGGTTTTCTGATACCTCTTTCAGCCCCGCCTACTTACCATCTTTTTCTTACCTGGGGTCCCAATTTCCCCTGTTGTCCACTTGCCCCAGCGCTGATGACTGACTCTTAGCTGCTGTTGGGCCCATCATCTTCTCACCACAACTTTCATTAGATTCTCTTTTCATCCCCCGAGGGCTCTGAGGTGAGAAGCCTGGAGGTTTGGGGTCATTTTTCTTAGTGGAGAGTCAGCCGGGTCTTCTCAGCTGTTAAGGTATTTTCTCCAGAGGGGAGTGCTGAAGAAAGGACACTGAACTTGAACATGGAAGCCCTGGTTTCACTCTTGTGACTTTAGGGAAAATCCTAGTTTCCTTACCTGCACAGTAGAAATCCTCCTGTTCCACACCCTGCACGCTGTTGTCACATTGCGCAGCAGACGGCCAAACTCCATGCCGTGTTTTCCAGTGTGACACCCTGGGTTTTGGTGACAGCACTGGCGGTGGGCACTTGCAGACAGGTGAGCTGAGTCTGGCAAGGAAGATTGAATTCCAGACAAACTCTGTGTGCCCCTGGGGAGCAGCAGCATTTTTAACAAGTGTTAGGGAATCTGAGTGTTTGTGATGTCTCAATTTTGCTTAAAAAGGGAATTACAGGACCTCCCTGGTGGCCTAGGTGGTAGGTCTTGGTGCCATTACCACTACAGCCTGAGTTTGATCCCCAGCCAGGAAGCTGACCCACATGGTGCAAACCGCTCCTGTCTCCCTGCTGCTCCCCTCAGCAGTGTCTTCAGTCTGTCTGCCTGTTCTGCTCCCCACTTTGTCTCTGGTGAAACCTCTCACCCCCCCCCCCCACCGCTGGCTCATACCCCAGTTTTTCTGTGCAAAAATAAATAAAAAAAATAGCACCACTTAAAAAAAAAAGGATTACATACGACAGAATTCCAAACATCCTCTTCCTCTTTTCTTCCTTTCTCTGTTTATCTCTAATGCGCACACCACAAAACAGCACCAGCCCTCCTAGTTGAGTGTCCTTCAAGTTCTGTTTTGTGGTCAGCGAGAAGCAGGGGAGCTGCCTGGAGGATGAAAACGCCAGGCAGACAGCTTTGTTTTAGAGCAAAATTAAAATGTGATGCCCCTTGAGAGGGCTCCTTGACCTTTCGTTTTTCCCTTGCCCCCTCTGCGCCCCACCAAGCGACTTGACAGTTTCTAGCTTCTGAAAGTCAGTTATGAAATGAAGCGGACACAGCCGACCTGCCGTTGCCTGGGCGATGCTTCCACAGTGTCTGGGGGCACGAGGGCCACTCTGTCCCAGACTCCCAGAGGGCGCGGCCCAGATCCCACCCAGTCATGCCACACAGAGCTACCTCCCCACACCTCAGGCTGCAGCACCGGTCTTTGCATGTGAAGCTGCACATCTTGACGGCAGTTGTTTCTCTACTTTAAGCTTATGGTGCTTCTTGGTGCCTCAAGAGGGAAATCCGCATTTTAGAAAGCTTGTGCTACAATGTGTGTTCCATAAATGATACTGGATGGAAGGGGACTCTTAAAACTCAGGTACCATTGGACATTGTTTCTCTTATTTTTTTTTTTAAATGCAGTCTATCTAGTGCCACAAAAGACTTGAGACAGTTTCTAAAGAAACTCATAGAAAAGGATGATAAAATGGAAGTAAAAAAATAAAATACCAGAGTCCAGAGGAAATATACACCAAGAGACTGTCCATTTCAGGAGCTCGTGTATGTCTGTCCTGAGATCCTAGGCAGTTGTTCTCAGTGACTGGTGAATTGCCTTTGGGTTTCCTGATAGCCAGTGCGAAAGTGGAAATGTGCCTGTTTGGGATCATTCCAGTGCTAATGAGAAGAGTGTCAAGTCCTCAAAGGGAGCTCTGAAAGAAATTTCCACAGAGAAAGGTAATGAAGCAATAGTGAAGGATGCAGTGGACTGTCCCCCTTATAGCCCTGGGACAAATCACTGTCCGCTTTCTGAGCTCTCCCTGACAAGAAGCTGAGGGCTTGACCTCAAAATGAACCTATGTTCATTTAAAGAGCTAGGACAAAATGGGCAGCTGTGTCTAGTTTCCTCAGTACACCCACACTGTCCGCAGTGCCAGCCGCTAGCCACGTGTGGCTATTAAACTTGAATTAACTAAAGTTGAATAAAATTTAAGACTCAGTTCCCCGGGGGCACTGGCTACACCTCAGGTATAGCCACATGGGCCCACTGGCTTCCAGTGGACCAGATAGAGAGCATTCCTAGATGCCTTAGAACAGTCTCCCCAGTGTGTCTGAAAGCGGGATGCTTTTATGTGTGCTTAGCCAGGTTTTAATTTATTTATTCAAATTGTATTATTATAAATTGAGGTAGCATTGGTTTACCCACTGTATATGATTTTGGGGTATGGGCTCACACCTCTTTTTTTTTTTTAAGATTTAGTTATTTGTTTATTTATTTATTTATTTATACAAGCACTGGGTACAGTCAGAAGCGCGGGAGGGTGAGAGAATTCACCAGAGCCAGAGTGGGGAGCAGAGCAGGCAGAAGGACCGAAGTACACTGCTGAGGGGAGCAGCGGGCGGCAGGAGAGGTCTGCGCGCCATGTGGGACCCTCCTCCGGTGGCCGGGGAGCAGCCGGGAATCGAACCGGCGCTGCAGAGGCTGTGGGCAGCTTCGCAACCCGGCGCTCAACTGTTGCGCCACCGGGGAGGCCCTCACACCTCTTGAGATGTATGTTAGCACACCACACCCACCACCAAACCCCTAGGTACCCTCCACCAGAGGATGGGGCTGAGATCTTTGGCACTGGAGGTAAGAAATGGCAGCATTTCACCATTTTCGTAATAAAAGTGACGTTGATGTTTAGAATGTTCCTAGTTTAACTTTTTCCTCCCGGAATATTTCTTCTGCTTCTGGCCCCGGCTAATGCTGGACACCAGCTGCAGTAGACACTGGCCAGAGAGGTGATTAAAGCAGCAGCAAATAAAATGGAAAAAGCAAATCTCAACATACTAAGCAATTGTGCTTAGAATTTTTTCTCTCTGTGTTGACACACAGTGGTGCTGTGTGTTTGATTTCCTGTCTCTTCCATAGGTCATTGTTACTTTTGTTATTAATCAATTTCTTCCTAGTTTATACCTTTGCACATTTTTTATCTTATTTTCCATATTCCCTGGCTTCCAAACACCTTTGGGGTCCTCTGTGTTAATGTTTTGCTGTTAATGTTTTGTGTTAATGTGTTAATGTGTTGTGTTCATAAAGGGATGTTAGCCCTTGAAACAACCACCTATGTTATTTTCTTAAGCAATTCTTACCGCCCTTATATCGGTATGAAATAATACATCAGCACACTTAGTCCTTGACCCCTTGGGTCTTTCCCTTTGGAGACACCACGAGTGTAAGCGGGCTGGCGCCGTCCTCCATGTGGGCCTGATCCCGCCTTTGCATCCGGTCACCAGCAGCACCGGCTTGCAGAGTTTTCAGTTTGCACTGCAAAACTAATTAGGTCTCCTTTGCAAAGAAGGTGGCTTTGTTTCAATAAAGCATAAGTAACCTTCTAGAATAAGTTCCCCCCTCCCAAGAGACACAGGTGTTGTCACAGCTTAGCATTTGAGAGTCTTCACCCCAAAAAGAAAGTTGGTAGTCCAGGCAGTTAGCTTCAAGGATTTTTCTAGCGTAGCATATTTATATATTGATGCAGGGAAGATCCATTCTCTTTCTGTTAATAATAGATCAAGGTCTGCGTGGGCTGCAGGTGGTTTGAAGGCAGCGATGCTTCTGCTCTCAGGCCTTGGGTATCTCAGCTCCTCCTTTTCATCCTCTTTCCTGTGAAGACTAACCCTGTGGGCCCTCGAGCTTTCTTTGACCCATGGCTTTGTCTTCATGCTTGCTCAGTGTGGAGCTCTGCAGAGGAGAGGAATTCATTAAGCAGAGAAGGATGAGATGGTCAAGCTAAGTGCAGAAATGGGACCTGCAGCTGCCATTTCTCTGAGGAGCTCCCTGGCAGGTACTGGCCCTGATTTGGGGGGAGAAAGGATCAGTTCTGAGGCCCAACGGATTCTCTTGTTCACGTGGGGCTCCTCCTGCCATACCTGCATGCACACAGTGGGCAGGGAGGCTGGGGGAGGTGGCCCTTTGCTGCTTGATTTCTGAGCTTTATCCAGCTGCTCTGGCTTCTGTGCTGTGGTCAATGAGCCTGGAGAGCATTTACGTTTGTTGGTGTGTCTCCTGCCGGAGAACGTCCTATCCCACCACATCAGACACCCCGGCACCTCTAACCACTAC